TAACATCCCCCAAGGTAATACCTTCTCAAATCCCCAAATTAGCAAATATTACTACAGTGTATAATTTTCCTAATCAAAGTAAAGTATGACTGAAAAAGACCTTTACTGATTCCATGAAGACAGGGTACCTACTCTTTCATGTATCCATTACTGTGTGTGTTTGTGTTTGTGTTGCTGGGGATTGAACCTAGGGCCTTGTGCATGCTACCTCTGGGCTACATCCCCAACCCCTCATAATTTCTTTTTCTACCTAAGAATCGCTACTTTGTTGGTTCCCTTCACTTTTTGTTTCATGACTCTTTTAATAAGTAAACATATGTTTTAACACTTTGTGAGTATAACTGTACAAAACTTTAAGGGGAGAGAGCAGCAGGAGGACCCAAGAGCTAGATCCACTCCTTTAGCCTGATTTCTCAGTTCATATGTGCATGCAGTGAGCCTCTCTCTTCTCCTTCTGAGCCTGTGAAGAGTTTCCCAGTTGGTTTTCTTACCTCCAGCCTTCTGTCCCATGTAACTTCTGCCCTTGTGTTGAACAATTTGTCTAAAATGCAGATTTGACCCTGTACTTCCTTAATTTGGTGGTTCCTAAATACCCAGTATTCCTATAGTTTTCCAGTAAAGTACCACTTGTTGGAGAGTTCTTTCTCAACTAGAGTTCTGTGAGTGAATTAAGCCCTATGCCATTAGGCATCTAGTGTGTATAATATATTAACTTTTCTTCACTGCATTTAGAGGGTGCTAGTTATGTACAGTCTTGAAGAGAATCAAGAAAAGTCACTCCAATCATTTTCTTTGTTCTGTGGTTCAGATGAGGAGAACCCAGTTATAAAAGACTAGAGAAGAGAGTCTGTTTTTCAGGAGCTCCAGAAACATAGCTGGGAGCAATTTCAGGGGGAAAAAATACCAAATTTCATTGAAGTCTAGGATTTAATCTTTAAACTTTTTATGTGAATGTTCCATTCTGCTATATTATATGTCCATGGTTAAAAGGTTTTTGTTTTTTTTTTTAAATATTTGTCAATGAATAGCTGAACATGGTAGTACACATCTGTAATCCCAGCAATCTGGAGCCTGAGGCAGGAAGATCAAGTTTGAAGCCAGCCTGGGCTACATAGTGGGGGGAAAAAAAGAAAATCAAGGAATAGAATTTGCCCTCTGGTCTGTGGAACTACAAATAACTACCCTCCCCACTCTTTAAGCTCTATAGATAGGATATTTTATTATTGTTAAGAATTAATTTTTTTTGAGACAAAGTCTAACTCTGTAGCCCAGACTGGTCTCAAACTGATCCTCCTGACTCCTGGAATTACAGGCATGTACCACTATGCCTGGCCTGAGAGCATTTTATGTATCTTGTATTATTCAATGTCTCTAGGAAAACTGCCCAAGATTATACAGTTAGTAAGATATCAGAGTCAAGGTACTAACCTACATACATCTCAACTCCAAAACATGTGCATTTAGTACAGCTTGAAGCTGAAGTGAAAGAATCTAGGACTGAAGGTATGGCACGAGCAGAAGAGTGCCTGCTTTGCAAGTGCTGAGTTCAAACCCCAGTTCCACCACACACAAAAAAGAAATAGAATCAAGAGGCTGGAAGTCTTTTTGCCATTTCTAAGTTTATCCTGAATGTAGGATTTTTTTTTGTCTTGGCCAAGTTACTATTATGGTTCAGATCATGTAATAGCTCCATACTTCTTGTGTAGAAGACAACCAACCCTTGATTATCCAAAAGAAAATGAGCAATTAGTGCAGGTAATTCCATCAAATAGGGAATTTTGGCTCTGTTGGTATGTTTGATAAAAATGGCTTTTTTTTTTTTCTTAAAGATATACTTTTCTAATTGATGGCTATTGCTTGGGGAGGGGGCAGTACTCAGTTTGAACTCAGGGCTTTACGTTTTTGAGGCAGGCACTTGAGCCATGCCTCCAGCCTTTTTTTTTTTCTTTTTTCCTTTGGCAGTATTTGCAATTAAATGTACAACCTCAGGCTTGCTCTAGCACTTCAGCCACAAACCTAGTCCTTTTGCTTTTAGTTTGTTTGTTTGTTTGTTTTTTGGTAGTGTCCTGTGCTTTTGCTCAGGGAAGCCTTGCACTGTGTTCTTCCCACCTCCACCTCCCAAGTAGCCGGATTACAGGTGTGCGCCAGTCCTTGTTTTTGAGTACTCTAGCTGGTTATGGCGGCTGACTTTTCTTGGCAAGAGGGAAACATCTTGTGGTTGAAAACTTGGTTCTAGGTAAATGTCATGCAGATGATAGGAGCTAATGCGTCTGCTTACCCAGGACACTTGGAGAAGCATAAACACTTAAGTACCAGGATGTTAGAATTCACCCCCTGCCCCCAGTATGATATTTACCTAGCTATTTGGAATCCAGTTCCCTAGGTATCCAGAGGGAAAGTCTGGGAATGCCCTCAAAGTGGTCACATTCAACTCAGAATTTCAAGGTGGTTTAGCTCTACTGAGAAGCTGGAACAGTACTCAAAGGAATGAAGCCACAATGACTGTTTTCAGTCATTCCTGGCTGTGTTCTGAATTCTTGGTTCTTCCAGAAATTTTGAAATTTGGGAATCTAAGGGCATCCTGAGGATGATGTGCAGAACAGTGTGAGATTCTTCTGTTTATAGCCTCCTACCTTCTTTCCTGTCTAGATTCTTTTCACCATGTGTCACTAAAGGTTGCCTCTTAGTACCTAATCCCTTTACATTAAGTAAAAGAGGAAAAGAGTTAAAGTGGAAAGTTTGGAGTTTGGATTAAAAAAACCTGTTGAGGGCTGGAGGCATGGCTCAAATGGGAGAGTGCCTGCTTTGTAACACGAAATCCTGAGTTCAAACCTCAGTGCCACATACACAAAAAAAACCTGTTGAGTCAAAGGAGGAACTTAACAGAGAAATGGAATGGAAGTCATTTCCTAAGACAGTAGACAAATATTCAGGAAACACCTCTGCACCCCAAAGATAGACACAGCTGCTCCACAATGACTATTAAAGGGAGGTTCAAAGTTATAAGCAAACAGCTGATTCTCCGGGTTCTTGGGCTGTTGCTGTTGGTGACAGGAAATCTTGTTCCCCAAGCTGCTGGCTTCCTGTTTTATTTTTACTTGTAGCAGATCAGAATGTCCATAACAAGGAGCAGTCTGTTCCAAAGGGTTCTTCTGCTCCCTTGAAGGGCCTCCCCACCCCCACCCCCCTTTTTGGTCAGACAATATGTTGGTTCCCAATCTGTTGGATCTATATGGTTAGTTTGGTTTGAGCATTTTGTATTCACAGTCAACTTTTTTGGTGATGAGCTGATGTTTTAAGGTTTGATGTAAACCTCTTGTTTTGTTTTGAAGAGGAATTTATAATAGTGGGGGCTGAGATGTGTTACCTTTTATGCCTTACCTTTTCATTTGAAGTGAATTTATCATTTTGCCTAACAGGAAAACCATTAGGCTGTTTTAGATTTCTTTAGTTTCACAAGCTATGGAAGCAGGACTGGCCCAGTGTGCTCTGACTATAGTCATATCCATTTTGTTGAGATTAAAACCTCCTCCTAACTGGGAAGATTAGAAATTTGGTGATCTAAATCTAAAACAATAGCTCAGCATGAGTGCCAGGGGAGTTCCTAGGGAAAGGGGCTCAGCAGAACTGGTAAGAAACTGTAACTGGGAGGTTTCCTATCTGCTCTAGACACTTCCTGCCGTCTCTAAAGCTCTGCCCAGGTGTATCGAGCATGATAGGAGAGAGAAAGGCAGCTACTGGGTAGAAGAGAATGGACCAGGGAATCTTCCTGTTAGCACAGTTGGCTCAGCATCATGTTTGACATATTGAACGTGTAAAATTTTCCTTGATACGCTTTCATTCTATCAACTTACAGACTAAATTAAACTTCAGTAGTGTTAATAGATACTGGCAGCAGTATTTAGTTGTACATTAGCAATTAACCATCCAGGAAGAACTGGAAAAGTCATGTACAGATGTATATCAATGGGGTTACTGTGGCAACTTGATTTCATTGTGGACATTACCAAATGAGATGCTTTTTTTTTTTTGTGGGTTTTTGTGGGTGGGGGGTGGTACTTGGGTTTGAACTCAGGGCTTCTCACTTGCTAGGCAGGCACTGTTACCACTTGAGTCTCTCTACCAGCCATTTTGTTTTGTTTGTGGGAATGGTGTTTGAGCTCAGGGCTTCACGTTTGCAAAGCAGGCGCTCTACCACTTGAGCCACATCTCCAGTCCTGCCAGCCCTTTTTTGTGATGGGTATTTTTGAGATAGGATCTTGTGAACTATTCGCCAGGGCTGGCTTTGAATTGCTGTCCTCTTGATCTCTGCCTCCTGAGTAGCTAGGATCACAGGTGTGGGCCACCAATGCCTGGTGAGAGGAGAGCTTTATAATTGGTGGCCAAGAATCTGATCCATTTTGACTATGGACACTCCAAGGATAGGATATGTGCTGCTGAATGGGCTGTTTTCTGACCATTCCTCCTTGCCTCTGGGGATTCTTGTTGGTTGGAGCAGTAGTTGTCACTTTTTTTTTTTTTTTTTTTATGCTGCTGGTATATCTCAGCCAGCAGTCACCAGTTCAGAATTTCTGCTTATCTAGCAAGATTCTAGTAGCAAAACTTGAATAGATTGGGGGCTTTAAAAGGGGAGGGAACAAAAAAAAGATAGAGTGAAGTTTTTTTTTTTTAGGTTGTTATAAAGCCAGGCATAATGATATAGGCCTGTAATCCTAGCACTCAGGAGGCTGAGGCAGGAGAATCACAAGTTCGAGGCCAATGTGGGCTACGTAGCAAGACTTTGTCTCAAAAAAAAAAAAAAAAAAGCAGTTTTAGATCAGAGCAAGACAAGAAAAAAAGAAAGAGGAAAGGAAGGAAGGAGGAAGACTCACACAGTCCTAGTGTGCCTGGAATTTGTGGTTGAATAATACTTTCCTGTTATTTCTTTTTTAGGTTGTTTTTCATCATTCAGAACATTGCCTGAAGCAGGTCCACCATGCCGTTAGTAACAAGGAACATCGAGCCAAGGCACCTGTGCCGTCAGACGTTGCCCAGCGTTAGAAGCAACGAGCTGGAATGCATGACCAACATCACCCTGGCAAATGTCATCCGACAGCTGGGCAGCCTGAGTGAGTGCCTCCCAGAGCTTGTGCTTTGCCCTCAGGGGTCGTTGGTGCTCTTTATTTAGTTTCCTTCTCCTCCATCTGCCTTCCCTAGGTAATGCGAAAATGTATCCCATCTCCCTTCCCAAAGAGAGGCTTCTTTTTTGGTGCAGATTCTTTCCCTCTACCCTTTCTTTCTTCATCTACCACCACCCTCTAGGTTCCCTCCATCTTTCCCTCCACCTGCTTCAAAAGAAGTCTGTGGGAAGAGTGGCAGGAAGGGCTGCAGCAAAAACTGCAGATGGAATGACAGAGCAGAATTCTCTATCTATAAAGTGGGAGGTTCACAGAGCAGTGTCTTGGGTCGGAGAATGTGCCTGTAATTACATGAGCTGTTCGATGTAGCCTGACTTTGTTGAAGCCTCAAATGTGCCAATAGTCTTTATCTACCCAACACTTTCCCCCCTTTCTTCCCAAAGAGGAGTAAAGCAAACATGTACTCAGAGATTCTGGCTGACTTGTCTATTCTGGTACACATTTAATTGTGCTGCAAGCCCCCAGGTCCAAGTTCAGGGTACAGATTACTTCTGTAGTCTCTGGGGGTATTGGGAGTCTTAAAAGCTACATGAACACACAGTGACACAAATAGTAGTGGGAACCATTCTTCTCTAGGAGGGAGATGGGGGTTAGCCCAGTCTGTTTTGGAGATGAGGGAAATCCAGCTTAACTATAATTTTTTTAAATTGGTATGAATGAGTGAGACTGCCTGGGTGGGGTACATGCGTGTTGTTTGAATTTCATTCTGAATGAAGATGACATTGTTTGCTTGGAGCTGAGGTATGCAAAGGGCACATGCTTGGACTGGCTCTGCATTTGTCTAGTGCCACTGCAACTCCCATAAGCACTTCTGTCAAAATGCCATTTTAGTCATCTTCCTTACTAAAGGCATCTTGGTGTGAATTATTTCAGACATTCACCCCTCCTATCGCATCACTGCCCTCAGTGAAGGCAGTGGAATATCAAGAAAGCCTGTATTCCCCCAGGTAGTAATAGGCCCTGCCTTTAAAATAGGAGCCTGAGGAGACAGAGCTCTGTAACCAGATGATGTATGGATTCCTAAGCCTTAACCTTGCTCAGGGACCATCTCAGTTGATCCAGGGCTTAGGGAAACCTGGATCGGGCGTCATGAAGAAATGAAACCCTGCCAGTGCCTATCTTACACAAAGGAACACTGACAAACGCAACAGCAGCACAGCAGACAATGAAGCACATGAAAGCTGCATAGAGCGTCACTGATTCTTAAAAGCATCACTTCTGCTTCTTTCACTCTGAGAAGGCCAGACATATAGAAGTCAATCACATGCTGGTTCCTTCTCCATAGGACAAGGAACATCTAGCTAATGGTGGTTCTTATTCTCACTCAGCAGGAGTTGTGTTCCTCTGAGGTGTTTTTCCAGGATAGTGTTGATGGATGCCATTGTGCACTCGCCCACTTTTGATCAGACCATTCCTAAACTTGAGGAAGCTGATTTGAGGAACAAGAGCAGCTTTTGCCCAAGGAAACAAGATTTCCTGACATGAGACTGACCGGCCTCTTATTCATCCAGTAAACATGTATGGAGCATATTTCACATGCTGGATACTGCAAAGATGCAACAATGAGAAGTGATCTCTGCCTTCCAAATGCTCCTAATCTGCCAAAAGAGAGATACATAATTCTTGAGAAGACAGTGGGAGAGGGTGAGAAGGAAACTTACATTTGTTGATTGTCTGCTTTATGCCAGGATTTTATGGGATCTTAACAATCTATTTATTTAAATTTTTGGTACTGGGGCTTGAACCTGGGGACTTAATGCATGTTCAGCACACACTCTACCACTGAGCCACATCTCCAGCCCCCAAAGTGAATATTTAAACTTAACTAAAAATTTATTTATTTTAAGCTTTCTTTTTTTTTTTTTTTTGCAGTACTGGGGTTTGAATGTAGGGCTTACACGCTTACTAGGTAGGTGCTCTACCATTTGAACTACTCTGTCAGCCCTTATCCCTTATTTTTTGTGTTAGTAGGGTTTGAACTCAGGACCTCACACTTGCTAGGCAGGTACTGTATCACTTGAGCCACACCCCCAACCCTTTTTTGCCTTAGTTATTTTTCACATAGGGTCTTGCATTTTGCTTGGGCCATGGTTCTCCTACCTATACTTCCTTCATAGCTAGGATTACAGACATGCCCCACCATGTCCAGCTTATTTGTTGAAATAGGGTCTTGCTAACTTTTTTGCACAGGCTGACCTTTAACTATGACCCTCCCGATCTCCAACTTTCAAGTAGCTAGGTTTGCAAGTGTGAGCCACCATTTCAGCTAGCTAAGAATTTCTTTGCTCTATCTCTTATTCTTTGTCTGTGCCAACGGTGCCTTGGATCAGGCTTTCAATTTTATTTTACTTATTTATTTTGAGACAGGGTCTAGCTATGTTGTGCAGGCTGGCTTTATGCCTGCCTCAGCTTCCTGAGTGCTGGGATTACAGGTGTGTGCTACCATAACCAGTTTTACTTGAACTATTGCCCATGCCACCCTCTGGCCTCTTTTCTTTCAAAATTCCTTAGATTGGTCACATATGCCCTGCTGGAGTAATCTGCCTAAAACACAAATTCATTTGTTTGTTTGTTTATTGTACTGGGATTTGAACTCAGGACCTAGTGCTTTCTAGGCATGTGTTCTTTGAACCATGCTCCCAACACCGTATCTTTTTGTCTCCCCTGTTTCTTACAATAGAATAATGGCCTGGCATTCGATATTCTCTGAGACCTGCCTTCCTTTCTAGTCTCATTTTCTACAATGTCTTCTTCCATTTTACAATCTTCAAATAAAAATTCTTTTAACATGGAAAAAGGGGAAAAGGGAAGGGAAAAAAGAATTGGACAGCCCTTGCCCTTCTTCTGCTTAGGTACCTCCTCTAGAGTGAGCCAAGCATTACTCTGAGTTCTCGTTCATGCCTATATTATCTTCCAGGTAATACTGCAAAGTATCAGTGTATTTTGTACTCAATTAAAGGTTCCTTGGAAGCGGAAATTGAGTTTTGTCTATCGTTGTACCTCAGCGTCTCCATCATATACTACTCGGCACCCAGTGGAAGCTCAGTAAATGTGTGTTCAATGATTCATGCCTGTGTGTTGCCCACCATTCTAGGCTGCTGGTACACAGAGAAGTTAGGGGAGGAAGGACACTTTGTATAGGAAGTGGGGCACAGTTAGAAAAGGAGAATCAAGAAAGGCTTCCTAGAGGAGGTTACATTTGAACTGGGCCTTGAAAGATAGCTAGGATTTCCCTTAGTGGAGAGGGGTTCAGGGATGGGCTCCTGTGCTTCAGGCTCTGACCTTGGCCTTGTGCATTGTACTCAAGCTAGAACTGCACTTCTAATAGTGAAAGTCTGATTATGGAATGGATAAAGCATAAAACTAAAAATTCTGCCACCATGGCTCCCTCCATGATAACACATTCAGAATTTTTATTTTCCCTCCGTACAGTGAGAGTACGTTTCACTTGTTAAGTTCTATGTCTTAGGAAATACAGGTGCAGCCAGCCAGCCAGCTTTTGATTAGTATCGTGGCCATCCAGGAGGGTCATTAGGAATTATGCTATGATACCGGATTTTCCGACCGATTGCATGGGGACAGAAGGACAGCACTGTCATCGGGGAGCTCCACTCACACTTCAACAAGAGCAGCTGCACATTTTTAAAAATTGGTTTTACCTGTTCTATTCCACATAGCATTTCATTCCAAGAGTTCTGCTGAGGAAAAAAAATTGAAGACTTCTCTGAAATCCAAATATGATATCTGTTATGAATGTCTTTATGGGTATTGGGTCTGCATTGGTAATCTGCACCATAATTATTTTTAATTTTTCTCGTGTACTGGGGTTTGAACTCAGGGCCTCACACTTGCTAGGCAGGCTCTCTACCACTTGAGCCACTCCACCAGCCCTTGCATTGGTAATCTGAATGAGTGAAATTTAACTTTGTTTTACCTCCTATTTAAGCCACACTTCTGTTTTCAAGAAGTTGCAAGTAATTATTAGCAGTTGAAGAATAGGGACTATCAAGGCAGATGTGGTGGTTTATGCCTGTAATCCCAGCTACTCAGAAGGCTGAGATTGGGAGGATCAAGGTTTGAGGCCAGCCCAGGCAAAACTTATCCAGACCCCATCTCAACTAATGAGCTAGGCATCTGTAATCTCAGCTACTTGGGTTGCATAAGTAAGTCCCTATTCGAAAAATACCTAAAAGCTGGATGCTGGTGGCTCATACCTGTAATCCTAGCTACTCAGGAGGCAGAGAGATCAATAGGATCACAGTTTGAAGCCAGCCAAGGGCAAAATAGTTCCTGAGACCTTAATCTTGAAAAAAACCTATCACCAAAAAAGGGCTGGTGGAGTGGCTCAAGGTGTAGGCCCTGAGCTCAAACCCCAGTACCACCATAAATAGAGATAGATAGATAGATGGATAGATAGATAGATAGATAGATTAGATAGATAGATAGAGGCCTGAGGGTGTGACCCAAGTGGTAGAGTGCTTTCAAGGCCCCGAGTTCAAGCCCTAGTATTGCCAAATGGACTATCAAATTGTCAGTTGGAATTACATTTAAATTTTCTTCTAAGCGTAAAATTTAGGATATTTTAATAGTCTTTTTTTTTTTTTTTTTTTTTTTGAGATCTTGCTGTTTTCCAGCCTGTACTTGAAGTCACGGGTTTAAGCCATCCTTACAACTCAGCCTCCCAGGTAGCTGGGATTATAAACATGCAACACCATGCCTGACTAGTCACACTTTTAAAAGTCATCTATGTGGCTGAGCAATATAAGGAAGTATCTTATTGTAACGACTTAGATTTTTAGTTTATTCAACTTTTATGATAACTTAGGTAGATATAATTATCCCCAATTAAAGATGAGTAGACTAAACCTGAGAGACTTCCTAAGGAGAATACAGGTATAAATAGAAAAGGCTGAGACATAGCCAAGTGCCAGTGGCTCACAACTGTAATCCTAGCTACTCAGGAAATCAGGAGGAAGTCGGTTTGAAGTCAGCCTTGGCAAATAGTTCATGAGACTCTGTATCTCAAAAATACCCAACACAAAAAACAGGGCTGGCAGAGTGGTTCAAGTGGTAGAGTGCCTGCCTAGCAAGCATGAGGCCATAAGTTCAAACCCCAGTGCTGCCAAAAAAAACCCCAAAAAACTTCTGATTTAAGGTCCACTGCTCCTTTCATGTCCCATAGCGTGATTCTGAATTGGCCTAGGGCCTGAGTTGATGAGGCAATAGGAAGCCTTCACCCCACTTCACTATCCTATCCCTGTGTTACCAATTTGATATGTTAGGGTTCGTTAAGATACAACCTGGAAAACCACTGCGCCACACTCAGTCTTTACTCCCACTGTCACTGCCTCCTTTATTAAGGACCAGGAAATCCTGAGTCCTCTTCTGGTGACCTAAGGACAAGTTGATTGGGGTTTTCTTTTCCTCCAGAAGAGTTGGATATTTTTGAGCCTAGTGTGTTTTTCCACACATAGTGTTGCATATTTCCCTGCTTTAGCTTCCAAATACAATTTACCTTTACCTGATCTACCGTGATACAGTATAGGGTATTTGTTTTAATATATTTTGGGTTTTGTTGGTACTGGGGTTTGAAGGGTCTTGCACTTGCTAGGCAGGCCTTCTCCCATTTGAGCCACATCTCCAGCCCTACAGTATAGTAGGACCGTAGGAACGTAGTCTTGTTTTGGAGAGGGATCAAATCAGATCCTCCATCCACAGAGTAGAAATGCAATTCCTTAGCCAATTTTAGCTCTTTGAGCTCAGGAGCTTTCCAGTTGTTTAGATCACAGAATCATTCAGTATGCAAAGGACTTGCTCCTTCCTTGATTTAGAAACTCCTTATTGACTTAAATTTACCAGCAATTCAAAACATGCAGTTGATTGGTCTTGTCCTTACTCTCCAGGTTATTCTGAAAGGGTGAGCTGCAGTTCACCCAAAAGATGTGGTTTGGCCTTTCAGGCTAATTTTTTCCCTTGAAATATGGACTGAGTATTTAGGTAGTTTAGAAGCTAAAAATAAGAGCCTGCTTTTAAATAGTTTATAAAAAAAAAATTGGGGAGGTGCTCAGCACAGTCATTTATGCCTTCCTTCACCTTGTGAGTAAGAAACTTAGATGGTATATTTATTCATATGCACCACTTTTCATTCCTAGTAAGAAAGTGCCTTGTGGCTTGGAATGACAATATGGAGGTAGTATCAGATTGCTGTTGTGTTTCTTTGGCTGCAAATTCTCCTTGCATTCCAGGGTTGAAAGTACAAAACTCTTCTAAAAAACAGGACATTGTGGAAAAAGACCACTGGTATGTTGTTTTTCAGGGAGGGCTTAAAACTTTCAGCTTTTCACTTGTTCTCTGAGACTTAGATTTAAACCTAGAGCAAAGACTTTGAAAATCATAAGTTATAGAGCATTAAAGTAACCTTTTTAATCCCTTAGAAGAAGGTATGTATTTCTGTTGTGGGATGTTGATAAGTTCATGGCCCCTATGAGATATCACAGCTTGCGATTTACCTTGATAGTTACTGGACTTTTTTTTTTTTTTTTCAGTATTGGGTATTGAATCCAGAACCTCATGCTTGCTAGTATTCTACCACTTGAGCCACACCCCCAGCCCTTTTGTTTGTATTTTGTTTTTGAGACAAGGTCTTTGCTCTTTTATGTGAGCTAGCCTCAAACTCAACAGAGGTAGAAGGCTACCTCTGTCTCCTAAGTAGCTGGGATTACAAATATGTGCCATCACACCTGGCTGTTCACTGGACTTCTGAAGCTCTATTGAGGAAGTAGTTTCTTACTTATCATATAATTTTGGACACCTAGGAGGTCCTCTTAGTTCTCCATCTGTTTCCCAGAACAATTTCACAAGGTGCTTTGTAGAATAATAACAAGGGGCTAAGGGCCGCAGGCAAATATATAGACAATATATAGACATAGTGTCTATTCTTCCTGGGTCAATTTTTTGCATTACCCTTTTGATTTTATTCAGCCTGTTTTGAGTTATGGAACATAGTCTGTCCAAGCTATGGAGAATATGTCTTTATCTCCTAGGACACAAGCTTTTGTGTGTGTGTGCATTTATATGGTTGGAAAATGGGGAATACAATCTTTGGTATCTAGTTTTTCTACTTATGCTACTTCTATGTACTCATGACTTGGACTCTTTGCTCCTTCCAGGTAAATATGCAGAGGACATTTTTGGAGAGCTCTTTACTCAGGCAAACACCTTTGCCTCTCGGATAAGCTCCCTTGCTGAGAGAGTCGACAGACTACAGGTTAAAGTCACTCAGCTGGATCCCAAGGAAGAAGAAGGTAAGGAAGCTGAGCTCAGCACTTGCAGGCTCTGCTGAGCAGTTTCTTAGAATTTTTTCCCTAATTTATAAAAATTGAGAGGTGCATTCACAGAGACCTATGGAGTTTTTCTTTGAAATGACACAGTCCTGGGTGGTATAAAGAAACCTTTTTAGCTCTGCTACACCTCCACATACTCCTTTTCTCCCATTCCCCCAATTCCCTTGTTCTCAAATTTCCCTTCCCTCAGTCGTATTTTGCTACCATAAAAGTACTTGGAAGATCCATTCCACCTAAGGAGAAGCCTGTTAGATCTGGCCACACAGTAAACCTTTGTGTTGCCTCATTTTGTTCAGTCATGAAATGGCTGGGCTGCTGACAGCCTTGTGGGCTTCCCCAGAGGGGAAGGAAGGGAAAAAAAAAAAAAAAAAAAAACCTGGCTGCAGACAGCCGCAGCCAAGAAATGCAGCAGCTGAGGCCTTTCTGACTGGTGTGACTCAGTGTTTGCTCAAATAGCCTGCCGTCCATTTTCTAATGTCTTCCATCTTCTCGCAGTGTCACTACAGGGAATCAACACCCGAAAGGCCTTCAGAAGCTCTACCATTCAAGACCAGAAGCTTTTTGACAGAAACTCTCTCCCAGTACCTGTTTTGGAAACCTACAATACCTGTGATACTCCTCCCCCTCTCAACAATCTTACCCCTTACAGGTACAACTGGCAAGCTGCTGCTTTTTTTTTTTTTTTTTGGCCTTTGGTTAACAACACTAGATTGTTTAAAATATCTAAAGAGGTAGACACCGGTGACTCATGGCTGTAATCCTAGGCTGAGATCCATATGATCTCAGGTTGAGGCCAGCCCAGGTAAATAGTTTGTGAGACCCCCATCTGCAAAATAGCCACAGCAAAATGAACTGGTAGTGCAGCTCACATGGTAGAGCACCTGCTTTGCAAGCATGCCCCAGTCTCACCAAAAAAGAAAGAAAGACAAAAAAACGTCTAAAGGTATTGTTTATATCAGAAGATTATATCAAAAAGCTTACTATCACCAGGCGCCAGTGGCTCACGCCTGTAATCCTAGCTGCTCAGGAGGCAGAGATCAGAGCAGGGTCATAGTTTGAAGCCAGCCCAGGAAAATAGTTTGAGAGACCTTAATTCAGTAAAGGCCTGGAGGTGTGGCTCAAGCGCTAAGAGCACCTATCTAGCAAGCCTGAGGCCCTGAGCTCAAACCCATGCCACAAAAAAAAAAAAAAGCTTACTACCTACCCTATAGTAGCTTATAGCAGCAGAAGCTAAAGTTTATGCTTTAAACTGTTATCACTTACTATTTGATTGTTTGGTTTCTGAAATTCACAGTGAATATAACATATATATTGAAAGTTTGTTGTAACATTACATGCTACAGAGTTTAATTTGGTAAAAGCCAGGTCTTCTTGGATTCCATCCAAAAAATGTAGTTATTACAGAACCAAAAGGACTTTGTTACAAGGCATTCCTACAGCATGGATCCCAAGAGGAACATTCTAGCAAGGCTCACACTTACTTGGAAACCACTAGATTACCAGATGTTTGGATGTGTTAGTGGGACCATCCTCATGGACTGGCTGCTCTGGGCTCAGAGGGGTCCTTCCAAAGCTTAAGGAATAATTGGCGTTCTTCCACGAGAGTGTCATTCACTTTGTTTTGAATATCCTTTCGACATTTCCTTCTGCAAGGACCAACCCTGCTGCAGCTGTACTTGAAAAACAAGATAGCTTTATAGACAAAGCCCCTCTCCTCTAGTGGTTTGGTAGTGTTGTTGTGCTGCATAAAATCACAGAACCGGGGCAGAAAGTGAATATTTATCTTGCTTGTATCCATAAATATCTTTGTAACAGGTGAAAAGTAATTACAGATAGCTCGAGGCAGATGCCTTCTATCAGACATGGGTTTACTGCAAGGGAGAATGTGTGTGTGTACCCCTGTGAAATTCAAGGACACCATCCTGATTCAGGGATCTTGGAAAAGCTTGGTAGCTTTTCACACAGATACAGAGATAGTGTATGACTTCTACTCTTTTTTACTATTTTGTGAGGTTATGCTTGCCCCTTGGCTCTCAAAGGGGCTAGTAAGCAAGTATAGAAAGACAACAGAATTTTGACTCTGTAGTCTCCATCCTTTGGTCTAGTTGGGTTTGGACAAAGTTGTGAGGTCACAAAGGGACCACAGAGCTGATAAATTATAGGGAGTGTGATGCAGGGTTTGTGTGCTAGGATAGGATAAGCAAAAGATATTAAAAGAACTTTATTTTTCTAGTAGCGTTATTTTCCTTTTAAACATACAGTACCGGAGTAAGCATCTCCTCTCAATTATCTGGACTTGAGTTAACAGAAACTAGCAATAATCTTTTTAACTCAGAATAAGATCTAATATAAGAATCATTAGTGTTTCATTTTGCTTTGAGAGGGGTCTCACAATGTAGCTTAGGCTGGCCTTGAACTCAAGATTCTCCTGCCTCCACCTCCAGGGTGGGTATGCACCACCATGCCTGGCTTCCACTTCTTTCAGTTCAGAATAATGTGCATGTTTTCTGGACAGTGGAATATTAACCATACCAAAGTAGAGGATTCCAGCCATGATCATTGAGTCTGACAAGTAGCCCTTATATTGACACTCACTAGCTCACTCTGTATTACTGTCATAGCCACTAAGATGTGGTAATTAAACTTTGTGGTCTTTAAAACAGTTCTCAGTGTGGCCCCCTTGTGGTTGGGGTGGTGTTGGATACTGAACTTTTCATTGTGGAAGGGAACAAGAAGGTGCAATGCACTGATTATCTGCATATAGAGGAATAGCAGTTACACACATATATTTGTGTATATTTGTGTGCATGAGAACCTACACATAAATACACAGGTTTCAGGTGGGTTAAAAGCCACTAACGCTTTCTAGAGAGTTCTGGGAATTGGTGGGAAAGGGGGAACCAGTGGCAAAAATCCCCTCATATGTGCTGGCAATTCAGGGGGCTGTCTGTGGCCATTCAGATCATTAGAAATAATCAGGGCAGCATAATCAGGATCCTGCTGCCGTAGCCTGTTCATCCCTTGACCATGCAAATTTCTCTATCAGAAATTGAAAATAAGGCAAAGATTCTTTAGTAGAGAATGCTATTTAGGGGCATTGAAACGCTGGTATGGGAGAGGAAATGTGTGATTGAGTTCAATGACTTCTTGATTCCTTAGTATAAAAACTGCTAACTGGTAGGTGTTTGGAATATTGGATTTGGTTGGGAGCTCATCTGTCTACTGATAGCTACTTGTCTTCATTTCTATCCCAGGGATGATGGAAAAGAGGCACTCAAATTCTACACCGACCCTTCATACTTCTTTGATCTTTGGAAGGAGAAGATGCTGCAGGACACCAAGGATATCATGAAAGAGAAGAGAAAGCATAGGGTGAGGGAAAGGGGCCTCTGTTCTACACATCAGTAGGCACGATTGTGGAGGGGGGATAAAAAGGAAGCCAGTCTTATGTGAAGTAATTCCGAGTGGCTGCTTGCTTGGATGCCAGGTGAAACTCCTCAAAAAAAAAAAAATGTGTCCACACCAAGCACCAAGATGAAAGTATAAATCACACCAAAAATGTGTTTGTTCCCCCTAGTGCTATTAACAATTGAGTATATTCAGGCTGAGTTTTAGAAATTGACTTTTCTATTCACCATTTATTTCTCTTGCAATTTGCACCTGACTCTGTTGGACACTGGAGCTAGGCTAGTCCCTTCTCTGCCAGTTTTGCAGCTCATTTCTCAGAAACCAGCACCATGTTCTACAGCAGTTGATTTGTAACAGGAGCAAGTCCCTTCTCTCCTGGGTGGGCAGGACCAGGATGGGGGATATGCTTGGTTTGTGGAGATGCTCCTTTCCCCTTAGGCTCCTGGTACTGTGTGTGACCTACCAGTTTTGACCTCACAATCCCATTAGCATGGCTGCCAGCAGGCCCAAGAGACTGCCAGAGGCTAGTGCAGCTGTATGGGCTGGAAAATTCTTCATTGGTGTTTGCTTTATTTTTTTAACTATTTCCTTCTAGCTGTCCCAGATATCTACAGCTGTTATTCTTCCTAGTCTTTCTTAACTGACCTTTGTGGCAGGGCAAATAACAAATAGCTGTTCACCCACTTCCTAACAATTAGAGCTATTCAAAGATGTGAAAGAGTTATCCAGACAGGTAACGAGTTTGCCATTGCTAGAGGTGTTGAGTGTGGGACTGAGCAAATATTTTGCCCAGGAGGTGGTTTGAATTAGATGGCCTTTGGGTCACTCCAAACCTAGCAGTTCTATAAATTCTGCTGTTAGTGTGTTTTGTCCAGGCAAATCATCTCTTGAATGTGCATCCATGAAGATGGGTGGAATTTTAATGAAGAACTTTGGGAAATATTTTATAAAGGCTTTTCTGTTTCTTTTCATTACAGAAAGAAAAGAAAGATAATCCAAATAGAGGGAATGTAAACCCACGTAAAATCAAGACTCGTAAGGAAGAGTGGGAGAAAATGAAGATGGGACAAGAATTTGTGGAGTCCAAAGAAAAGCTGGGACCTTCTGGGTAGGTGATGCTTTTGTATTATCAGTGGCATTCTTGTCTTTTTTGTTTTCGTTTTTGTTTTTTTGAGACACTAGGGGTTGAACTCAGCCTCATTCTTGCTAGGCAAGCTCTACTACTTGAGCCACTCAAACTCTCAGTAGCATTTTTTTGAAAGAAGTCGGGGACCTGGGAACAATGAGCTTAACATCTTGACACCTTTCACACCCCCTGAAATCTGACTGTGGGTTAAGATCAATATCACTGTTAATAGCTACTTTTAAGTACATCCGTCTAGTGATTAAAATTTGCTAAATAAATCAGGAGACTTGGCAATTTAAATGAGATGACTGGAGTGCTCTGGAAAAGCAGACCCATGGCTTCTAGTACTCTTACTCTGCCAGGCACAGATATGTCTAAGAGTCCTAGAAGAAAGATTGGAAAGGGAAGAAAAGTGGTCTTTGGAGCCCTTTGCTTGCAGAGCATGGATTTGAAGGTTATGCCTAAGAACTAGGCATTTTGAGGGAGTAGGAAGGCCAGGAAGGGAAATTGCACATCACCAGAGCAACTTTTCAGCCAGCATTTGTCAGGCTTGGGAGAAAGGCTAGCCAAGGGACTGAATGCAGACTTCAGAGTCAGTGTGGGAAAGGTTGTTCGGCCACTGTGGAGGCTATATATCTCTGTGGAGAAATAGGCGATGTCAGTCTGACCTCATTTCCCAATACCAAATCACATAGGAGGTTTAAAGGGGGAAAAATTGTTGTAAAGCTTGGTTTGATGCTTATCCTGATGTCTGACCTGTGTGACATTCAAAGCCAAGTCACCACCACTGCTTGGCATGAGTGTCACACTGGTTTTTCCTCTAAATGCATTGCATCCTGGCTGTCAGAGAACCATGTCGGGTGTCTAGGAATGATAAAAAAAAAAGAGTTGAGTTCTTGCTTTTAGGAATAACTCTACCATGAAAATCTTGACTTTTAAAAATGTCTACACTTCTGACACTTGTTCTTCCTGGATTAAGAGATTTCTTTTAAAGAGTGATGAAGATGGTAAGAGGGAAATTGAACCTTTCTTTCCACAGGGAAATCAGCCCTGAGGGTACCTTCATTACTTTCACCTCTCAGTAAAAGGGGCTATTTTGTTCTGTGGTCCCATCCTGTTCAGACAGGCACATCTCATAAGTTCAGCAACTGTAAGGCCAGAAGCTTACATGTTTAGAATGCCAACTATTATGTGTGTCTTTTTTTGAGGAGTGGGGGTGGTGAAGATGAGAAGTTTGTCTCTTATTTTACTGTTATCTTGGAGGTTTAGAGTTGGGGTACATGGCTAGTCTATCTGGACATGCTTCTTGGTGAACTTATCAAGAGATGTACCAAGCATCGAGGGCTCCAGGCTTTGGGGATTTTCCATATCAGAGCATCATTTGATTCAGTTAGTTCTCTCCAACTCTGTTCTCCCTAGGATCCATTTTGATGAGTTCTTTAGAACTCAACAATGGTGGAAAGAAGGGGGAGGGGGAACAGGATAGGCCAGATTTTGCTAGCTGGTGCTAGGTGTAGTTGTACTGGTATAGAGGCTTATTGCTTAGTGCATTTATGCTTGCTTGAAGTTCTGACATTGTTCACCCAGAGAAAGTTCACCCAAGATCCAGTGCTGTGAGAGAGGTTTTTATGAGGCAAGCCTTAGCACCCTACTTTAAGCAGCAGCTTATTTTTCTTTGATAAGAGACCTGGCAGAGAGAGAGAGACCACATTTACTACTGTATAGCAACCTTGGTTTGATTTTGCAATCAAATGCCTCCTTTGCCTTTGAGCACTCCAGTGGCTTGCTGACCTCAAAATCCAGCTGTGTGCCATTCACGTGTTTGCAGCTCACCAGCCTGTGGGGCTTCACTTCACCCTTTCCCCAACACAGGCATTGGGTTTCAGGTATAGCTACACCTAATATTTGGGAGAGAATTTGAAAGAACTGTTAGGTTTGACAAGGCTAACACCAGGAAGGGATCTGCAGGTTTTGATAATCTGGTTTGGATTCCATAATTACAATCTATCAGAAATGTCTGGGAGATAAATAACAATAGAATATTTAGTCTTAAAAGAAAATTTCAGTATAACAGAAAATATATAATCTATATACTTTATTTCTCTCTAGTAGCTTTTGTTTCAAATGAATTTTTTTTTTTTTTTTTTTGGGAGGTGCTGGGGTTTGAACTCAGAATCTCATGCTGCTAGGCAGGCACTCTACAACTTGAGCTGCTCCGCCAGCCCTCAAATGAATTTTTATGGTATCTTTTAAGAAGAAAAGAGAGTGCCATTTAGGTTCTTTATTTTTATCTTTTGGTGCTGTGGATCAAACTAGACTCTTTAAATGACACTTTTTTGGCATTGGGTTCATTGTTAGGTATTCACCTGCCTTGGTGTACCAGAATGGCAGCATTGGCTCTGTTGAAAACATGGATGCAGGCAGCTACCCACCACCACCGCAGTCAGACCCCACCTCTTCACCTTCTCCTTCCTTCTCTGAGGACAACTTGCCTCCCCCACCAGCAGAATTCAGGTAAATGGTAGAACCTCTTCCATCTGCCTGGGTGGTTAAACTCTGAGGAACAAAATAAGAATTCAAAATTTAGGCCAGGACCACAAAAATGACTTCGGGCAAGTCTATCTAGGTAATAAAATAATTAACATTTATCAGATGTTTGCATTGTGCTTAACACTGTGTATTTAGCTCCCCACAGGAGTCCTTTTGAGATGGGTACTGTTGTTATCCCCATGTTACAGATGAGTAGATGATGAGGCACAGAAAGGTCAGTGAACTTACCTAAGGTCACACAGCCAGCAAGAGGCAGAGCCATGATTGGTGAAGTCTGATTCTTAACTACTTTGCTATTTTGTGTATACCTGAACAAACAGAAGTCACTAACTTCTCTGTGTTTTTCTGTTAGCTTCTTTCCTCAGTACAGAATCATGTGGTACAATCTGCTGGCCATGTAATAGTTAGCAGACATCTTGCCCAGAATCTAGGAGTCTTAACAGATAGTCACCTCCCTCTCCTGTTACTTCTGGTTCATTTCGCTGCTGGGTAGACTGTTGAGAATGAATGAAATCAAGGGAAAAGAGGGATGAGACTAAGTCTCTTCATTTTGATATTTGTCAGTATCTCTGGCAGAAGTGTACGTAGGTGATTGACTATGATGACTGAAAAGAAGTCTGGGGATTGTGTACATTGCAATGTTCTCTTATAGTTACTTTTTCCCTTTCTGATGCCTAACAAGTGAGCACTATTGAAAGGCACGCTTTTCTCCTTGGACACAGTTTAATTAGTGACTATGTTGAGGCCCCTCACTCAAAGACCTAAAGCAGCACTGTCCTCACCTCCTCCCATTCTTCTTGGCTCTTGAAACCCTTAATCCCAAATCTCCTTCTGTCTCCCAAATCACTTCCTGCTGGTAGCCCTGTCAGATGCAGCTAAGGCTTGAAGGTCTGTGGAAAATTTGAAGATGGATGCTTTTCTAAGGAGTAGCTGTTAGTGCAGGGCAGATGCAAAGGTGGAAGATGAAAACCTTCAGCCTCACACATGGCCTGAAACCTTGCAGTTGCAGCTCCACAAATCTGATCCCCCTTCCAACCTGGATCTAGTGATGGTAGCATGTGCGTTTCCCATTTCCCATCTTAGCTCCTCAGATAGAGACTCATTTTCCCTTAAGTGAAGATTCATGCATCTAAATCTCTGCCCTGCTCAGGTTTTGTCAGCTCAGCATGGGCCTCCTGTCCTCCCCAAATCTGGTGAATGTTACTGGCCTGAGAAACAGAGCTCAGTGAGTGGGTGGTATTTGAATTTTTATTCCAGTTCTTTTCTTAGTCCTGGCTCCAGACTTAAACTGATGACCTCTTAAGGAGGGATCTGGTTAGGGAGGTTGCCTTTCTCTGGAGAGCCATGTTAGAGGGGGACTTACGATGACTTGGCCAGCCTTACCTGATTAGGGGAATCCCAAGTCCACTTCTTCTTAAATAGTATCTCTTGATTTCTAATGATGCTTCTCTGCTGGTGGGAAGCTCATTACCTTAAGGCTGCTCATTTCCTTTTTGGTCTGATCTAACTCTTCCTGGGTGTTTCTCCTAAGTGAAATGATAGAGTCAACCAAGAGAAGCCTGAGCTTGTAGATAAGCATACATCTAGGTGGGTGTTTGTATTTTGAGTGATGATGAGTCTCTTTTCTTTGGCTTTTTAGCTATCCAGCAGACAACCAAAGAGGATCTGGCTTGGCTGGGCCCAAAAGAACCAGTGTGGTCAGCCCAAGCCATCCACCCCCAGCTCCTCCTCTGGGCTCTCCACCAGGCCCCAAACCTGGGTTTGCTCCACCACCTGCCCCTCCACCTCCACCTCCAATGGGCGTCCCACCTCCACCACCACCTGTAGGATTTGGGTCTCCAGGGACCCCTCCGCCACCTTCACCCCCTTCATCTTTTCCACCTCACCCTGATTTTGCTGCCCCTCCACCTCCTCCCCCACCACCGGCAGCTGACTACCCAACTCTGCCACCACCTCCCTTATCCCAACCAGCAGGTGGAGCTCCTCCTCCTCCTCCTCCTCCCCCTCCTCCAGGGCCCCCACCTCTCCCCTTCAGTGGTGCAGATGGCCAGCCTGCCATACCATCACCACTTTCTGATGCCACCAAGCCCAAGTCCACCTTACCTGCTGTGAGCGATGCCCGTAGCGACCTGCTTTCTGCCATCCGTCAAGGTAAATCTCAGTGATAGGTCAGGGACCATGGAGCCTTGTCTTTCTGAAGCTGGGGTGACTGATTAGGGGGTGGGGAAGGGGTGTATGCCCTTCCCAGAAAATTCTTTTCATGGATTGCAGAGAAATTGGGACCTAAGGCCTAGGAGCAGCCAGAAAAAAGGCCTTACTTTAAAAATGTGGAGATTGAGATTTCTTACTCCATTGGTCTAATGTGAAGAATTCTTCTCTTTTTCTTTCTTTTTTGGTGGTACTGGGAATTGAACTCAGGATCTCACACTTGCTGGGCAAGCACGCTACCACTTGAGCCATACCTCCAATCCCTTTTTGCTTTAGTTTTTCAGATAGGGTCAGGTGCTTTTTGCCTTCAGTTCTACTTCTGCCTCCCACATAGCTGGAATTATACATGTGCACCACCGTGCCCTGCCCAGCAGCTTGTCTTTTTGAGATCAGGTCTTGCCAACATTTTTGTGGGGGCTGCCTAGAACCTGGATCTTCCTATCTCTGCCTCCTACATAGTTGGGATTATAGATGTGCCCCACCATGTCTAACTAAAGTGAAATTTTTGTGTTTGTTTGTTTGTTTGGTGGGACTGGGGTTTGAACTCAAAGTCTTCATGCTTGCAAAGCAGGCACTCTACCACTTGAACCACACATCCAGAAGTAAAGAATTCTTAACCTGGGGCTCTCAAGATCCTTGAAAATAGGTGCATTGTGTATGTGTGTATGCTTTTTGTTTTTGAAATTTTTTTTGAGACAGAATCTTGCTATGTATCCCAGGCTGACCTCAAACTGATGATCCTCCTGCCTCAGTCTTCCAAATGGGGGAATTTCTAGGTGTGGGCCACCCTGCCCATTGCATACATTTTTTTTTCCCTTAGAAAGGATCCCCATTATTCATCAGGTGTTCAAAGGGTACCCAGAAAAAAAAAAATTAAAAAGAATCACTGTCCCAGTGGCTATCTCTTCATTTGGGTTCAAAGGGTACCCAGAAAAAAAAATTAAAAAAGAATCACTGTCCCAGTGGCTATCTCTTCATTTGGGCTCAGTCACCCTCCTCTGCTCTGCCTGCTATATCATCCCTCCCTCTGCTTTCTTTTCTCCTCCCCATTTCTTATCATCCTTTCCTCTGATCCCCTTCCCTTCTTCCCTCCTCCCCTCTCTATCATCACCTCACCTCTAGGAGCATTTGTTTTCTTTCTTTCTGGGGGGGGGTGGTGGTCAGGTCTGGTCCCAAGGGATTAGGAGTGGTCTGTTTGCTCTGTTATGACTCTCAAGGGACTGTCCAGAGGAGACAGCCCAGAGCTGCTGAACTCCATTGCAGTTGGAGGAGTTGGGCAGTCTGAGCACTTGCTGGACCACTCCCACTCAGAGCCTCGTGAAACAGTACTATCCAGCAACCAGGAAGAATAGCAGGCTTTGAGATATACCTACAGCACTTGGGACACTTGTTTCCTAAAGCCTGTCTTTCCTTCTAAGAATGTTGTGATAACCCCTCCCTCTCTGCTTTCCTCTGATCTTCACAATCCTCCCCCAGCAGTCGCCGTTCCCTTTACACAGCGCTAGATGGATTCTGAGTCAAGGGACAGGCCTTCTCAGCTCTTCTCCCTCTCTTCCACCAGGCTTTCAGCTGCGCAGGGTTGAGGAGCAGCGGGAGCAAGAGAAGCGTGATGTTGTGGGCAATGACGTAGCCACCATCCTGTCACGTCGCATTGCCGTTGAGTACAGCGACTCAGAAGATGACTCCTCTGAGTTTGATGAAGATGACTGGTCGGATTAACTTGTTCTGCCTGCTGCCCGCTTCTTTCTTTCCTTCCTTCCTGCCTTCCTACCCTAATAGTCCCATGAGGGAAAAAGGGAGGAAAACAAATTTTAAGGGGCCAAAGCCTTCTCTGAAGCAACCAAAGCTATATCCAAGTGCTTTCTCCTTTCTCCATTGCTAGGCCCGTGGGCTCCCTGAGCATATTCCCTCTTTAAGTGACTTTTGCATATTTGGAAGGAAGGAAAAACCCCAAAGCAGATCTCTTTGATTGGGTTTCAGTTGGAGATACTGCCTTCCCCTAAGAGCTATTCTCAACTGTGGCCTTCTTCCAAAATCCTTGCCCTCAGTTGCTTAAATAATGGTAACATCATCTACAGCACTGAGAATGACCTGTGTGGACACAGCCGACCCCTTTCCTGTGCCCCAAGAGTATGGCAGGTCTAGTGCCCCCACAGCCAGACTGTCACAGCCCTTTGCCCCACATTCTACCCTTTTTAGCAGATGGGGCTGCTTTTGCTTAGTGATCTCTAAGCCTGGGATACTTTTGTTCCATGAGGCATCAAGCCTGTAAAGAATGTCTCAGCTTTCTGCCCAGAAATGATGCCTTTCTGAAGACTGGGACTGTTGCCTCTCTCCCAGGCTCCCTCTTAATGAGTATGGTATTCAAGTGTCCTTTAAATGCCCCCTCCACCCCTAGGTGCCTTCAGGCTGCACAGCCCAGTTTTAACCTCTAATATCCATGACCAAACTACCCTGACACACAGGGACCTGGGCCCCTGCTGGCTGTCAGGAAGAAAGCATAGAGACTTGGAACTACAGGACTAGAAGGACAGTGGAACTCCTTGGGTTACACCCTCTTAAGGATGCTGAGGCCTAGAGATGGGAAGTGACTTGCTTAAGGTCACACAGTTGGACAGTAATAGAGCAAGAGCCCAGACTTCCTGATTCCAAGTTACCTGTGCTTTCTGGGACCAAATAATGGGCACTTGCTGGAGTCTGGGCAGAGTAGTCTTGGCTCTGTGCTACTCCAGACCTCTCATAGGCGGGAGTCCCAGTCAAAGGGCTCAGGGCCTGTGCCACCTCATCAGTACTGCTCCCACCCTTATAGCCTGTCTTGTAGCCTTTTGTCACCCCTTTCTATCTCTAGCCAATCATGTGGCCTAGGAGCTGTGCTTCTGAGGGACCAGAAGTAAGGAGAAAAGAAAGAGGGCAGGCAGCCTTGACAGGTGCTGTTTTCAGTTCCTCTGCAGCTCCTCCCCCTTTCACTTCCCCAGTTTAAGCCAGGGTTCTGCCAGCTGTAGAATCTTCAGTCCCTCGGGCTGGCAGCCGCTGCAGGTATCTGCCTGGGGGGGCCTGGAAGCCATGAAGGCTGAAAGGCAGAGGGACTCAGGGTCTTCTTTCTGGCTCCCCATTCATTCTGCATGGTGATGTTGAGCACCCTTTGCCCCCCTTCCCAGAGCTAATACATAGGTGCTATTATTCGGGAAAAAACTGGTCAGCTCTAGCCAACAGCAAGGCTGCTTCTCTTCTGCTCCAACTATTGTGTAGCCTCTTATGCTGAAATCGGCTTCTCCTGGCTTCTCGGGCTTTCAGAGCCTGAAACAAAGAGAAACAGGATCTGTCTCTGCCCAGCACAGCAAATGGTTGTAGTAATTGCCAAAGCCCTCATAAACCCCTCTGGCTTGAGGAGAGTGTGTAATCATGGGCACTGCTGCCTGCCCTTGCCGAATAACCCCCCTCTGCCTCCTTTCTTGAATTCAGAATGTGGGGACTGAACCTGAAGGTGCCAGAGGCCCTCCTGTTATGCCTACTCCAGTGTGCCACCCCCCCGCCATTGGGTGTCTGTGGCACAGGACTTGGCACCCAGCTCCATACTGAGCACATAAGCTGTGCCTTCCGCACATGTTTCCCACCCTGCACTTTGAAAGCCAGAGGTGCTTTCACCAGAACCCTAAAATGGCTGTTGAAGGTGCCCCAGCTGCAGCCCAGGAATGGCTGTAGAGGCAAGCGGAGAGCAGTGGTTCTCCCAAATAGGAGTCCTGGGGCCTGGCCAGGTCAGGGTTTGGGCCTAATGGCTTTCACTAAATTATACCCATCCTCCTCCTTTCCGGAAAAAGGGGGAGCCAGAGCCACTCACTATCATTCTGTTCTGACCTTGAAGGGGGTGGTGTTGGCCTGGCTTCTGGAATGGACAGAGTCCACCATGGAAAGGGCTGGGGGCAGGAGGAGGTGGGGAGGGGCTCTGCCTGGGGAAGGTAGGATTAGATCATTAGCTCAGTGACCTCCTAGGGTTTCGATGTGCTGTGTTCTCATCCTACAGCTGGTTTGGTAATGATCTGCAAGTCCCGGAGAGCAACAGCACAGCTCTGCCTAACGCTCTCATTAAAATCTATGCAGCCAAGCTCGGTGCTTTGTAGCAGCCGGCCTTGCGAAGCCTCCTCAGCTCGGGGTCTGGGGACCCAGTCAGCTGAGAGGCCCTCTGGGCTCTATTTATGCATATGTGCACCAAAAAAAAAAGTGCTACTTTAAACCCAGGGCCCTTTAAGATGATAAAGGACCCAGTGCAGGTAGGCATGTGTTTGTGGAATCCTGTAATTGTAGAATGCTAAGTTTGGTGATTATTTAAACTGGGCTGAGGCTGGTAAGAGTATAGAACAATGGCCCATAAGGACTCTTAAGCACCAAAGCCAAGAAGCCACCTCCCTTCCTGGTCTGCTCAGCCCAGGGGACCTGCCCCCATTCCTGTGGCCCAGGGGCCCAGCTTCCATTCGGCAGTGTCAGAAGTGACTTGTAGCTTTGCCTTGCTCATGAGATGATTTCATTCTAAGGGAGCGGGTGGGGGTGGGGGAAGCAGTGATCCCTTGGAGGCTCAGAGCAGCTGGCCTGAACTCCAGCTTGCCTCCAATGGAAGCTCGAGCGCCCTCAGAAACGACCCTGGCCAATGTCACCGCAGAGCTGAGGCAGTGTTGTCAGGGCTAATGTGAAATCTCTTCCCGTGGCGCCGATCCTCCGACTCTGCAGCGCCAGCTTGGACAGATTGAGGTCTCTGTGGCTTTGGTGACCCTGCTTAAGCATTCCCACCGTGTCCCTGCTCTGCTCTAGGACTGCCTCCCGCAGCAGCCCCTCACCTGACCTCAGGGCCTGGAGAGGGAGGCAGTGTACAAGGGCCAGGCGTTCATGCTCAGAAAAGATGTCAGTCTGCCTGGGGGGCATCAGGCTTTGAGCCCTGCCAGGGTCCAGCTGACCCAGGACCAGATATCACCCAGAGAAGTGCCTCCTCCTGTTCTCTCTGCCACATTCAGTGAGGGCCGGGGAACAATTCTGTTACTGTATTAACTTTATTCAGTTAATTCACTTGAGAAACTAACCAATTTTTACTTTCTGTCTAGAATGATGTACCTGTAGGAGAGTAAGCTATAGTGCTCCCAAAGTGCCTTGTTTTCTCTGATAAAAATATATTTATAAGGACATATTTCAATGGGTTCTTGGTTGTGTTTTGCACATCAAGATTTTAGGGATTGAGCAAAGATGCCGTCTGGAAACAGGCCCTTTCCCTAAGGCTGGGAAAGGGAATGGCTCTTCAGCTGGGGATATGAGCAGTGAGGTTAAGCCAGACTCTGAAAATGGCCCTTTCCTCTTCTGCCCTATTCTCAGACTGTTAGGACATCCAATTTTTAGAGCTCTATGGCTCCAAGCCTGGTCTCATTTGCTTCCCTGACAGGCTCATGTGTATACCACATTTGTACCACAGTGACCTAAAGTTTCCATGTAACTACTTTTTGTATGCACATGAATACTGAAATGCCAACGTCTTCAATATTCTGATAAAGACTTGTAGCCACTCAGCCATCTCTGGGGTGTGTGTGTGTGTGTGTGTGTGTTTCATGGGAGAAAAGATGAGAAGAGGCAACACTGATAACCACAGGCGGTGACAGAACTCTGAACTGGGGTCCAGCCTGGGTGGGCTTGAAGGGCAGGAGGCTTCTGGATGGAGACCTGAGTTGGGGAACCCGAAGCCCAAGCCCTCTCCCCCATGAGGGTGGTGTGCTGGCCAGGGAGATGGCTGCCAGCAGTTTCTTGCACCCGGCTGGAGAGGAGCACAGTCTGAATGCTGATGCTGCCTCCCAACATCTGGCCCACATCTTGTCTGCCTCAGACCCAAGCAACTTACCTTAAGTAGAAAGATTCACAATTGAATCCGATAAAAGGTTCAGGCTGCTGCACTCCCCCTCTGCCTGAGGAAGGCGAGGGGGCTGGCTTTATTTTCTGACCCAAAAAAAAAATGACCTACCCAGGAAGCAACGGTTGTTCAGAGCACAGCTGCTGTGGGTTACTGTCCCTGGGGGTAATTTATGAGCAGACACCTACTTCCGGGCCCAGCAGACCCAGTGGGGTGGCCCCTGGCAGAGGGGCAGGAGCAGGGCTCGTGGCTAGCAGGTCACGCCTGCTGTTGAGAGAGTCACCCACTGGCGTCCCAGGAGAGGGGCAGAAGTTTTGAATTGTCAGCAAGTGCTGCGCCAGCCTCTCTGAGCTCATCATTGGAGGTGGGGGTACAGAGGAGGGGGCGCGGAGCTGGCGCACCCTGCAGAGCCCCTCGCTCCACCCTCCTGCTCAAGCCTGTGTTTAGTCAGCACTTGGCTACCCAGGGCCAGTGACTGACAGCCAGCCAGACCAGACGCCTGCCCTGGCAGAAGACAAAATGGTGGCGTCGGGAGCCGCCCTTGTGAGGGAATTGGAGAGAAGGAATGTAGTTCTGGGAAGCCAGAGGCCTGAGCTGGAATTATGGCTTGCCCACTTGGGAGCTGTGACCCTGAGCAAGTCTCTTCACCTGTGAGCTACGCCCGGGAAGGACAAGCATTTTGAGTGTTCACTACCTGCCAGTGACTGCAGATGCTTGATTTTGATCTTTAGAGGCAGTGGTCACCTGTTTTACACCAGAGAAAAACAGTTTCATGGAGGTGACAGGAGTGGTCTAAGTTCACATAGCTAACCTGACACAGCTCATGCTATTCAATGTTATCTGTCCAGCATCACTGACTGAGCTTTGGAGACCCTCATCCCCTCCTGGTACCGTTTTACATGTGCAACAACAGGTGAGAGTTATTTTTGCTCTTTGAAATCAAACAAGCTTGACCCAGGGCCCTGCCATCCTAGGCTTGTGCCCTTGGCTACCTGGGGACACAGTGGACACAAACACAGTACACATGCGTGCACTCATTTACTCACACTTTGTGAGTCACACACGTCATGCACAGGCTCCTGCCCTTGTGCGGACAAGGACACAAATCAGCATACAGTTACAGGAACAAACATAATTGTAGGAAATCTCACACAAAGTCGTCCTGAGCCACCCTTCCCTGCTCGATGCCTCCACCAGTTGCTCACTGCCCCCTCCTGGCCACCTGGCTGCTAGGGCAACCCAGCACCATTTCCTGAAGTTCTGTTCAGGATGGTTGGCAGCCAGCTCCTACCTCACTGGGAGGAGCAGTTTGAGGTGCCCCCCTTGGCCTCAGGGAATATGTGCTCCCTAGGGAGCTCTTGAAGCTAAGGACAAAAACAGCCTTTAACATCCTCAGGAGTCTTCAAGGTAAAATTGCCAGTCCCCTGGCAACAGGAGGGCAGGTAAGACTTGGGTCAAGGGGTCCTGCACAGGCCCGCTCCAGCTTCAGCAGGCAGCCACCCCTGCCCTAAGGAAGTAGGCACCCATGTGCACCTGCCTTCTGCTTTTCAGAAGAGTATACCTGCCAGATGAAAAGTCAGAGGTCAGCTCCTCTTAGCTTGCACCTTGATGGGAGCTGGCACCATTCCTAGATGTGTTTGAGTACACATCCATAAATATGACTCCATAGACTCAAAGTCTTGGAAGGATTACCAATACAAAGCCTTTTATTCCTATTTTACAGATGAGGAAATGAGGCACAGCAGCTTGCCCAAAGTCACACAGCAAGCTGGCAGCAAACAAGGGAATAGAATCTGTCTTTTCAATGCTCCAGAGAACACAGAACCCTGTGTGCTTAGGCCCAGAACCAAGAGAACTGGAACTACAAGGGTAAAAACCAGAGGTTTTGGTTTTTGGTCCGGGTGCTCTGAAAGGCTACCTGTGGCTGCCTAGAGGCTTGGGGAGAACTCAGAGATCCCACCCAAAAGGTATTCAGTGTGGGGGCTGAAAAGGTGAATTGAAAACCCAAGTGGATTCCACCACTTCATACCTCTAACTAGCCAACTGAGGCAGCTCCTGGGTTTCATTGTTCAAAGCCAGAGGCAGACTAGCACCCAGTCACTTGGTAGCTGACACATCAGTATGTCCACATGTGTGAGTGATGTGGCCCTGCCTGCCTGTGGATGCATGTTCAAGCATGCCTACAGTACAGTGAGGAGGATATCCATGGGTCTGCGTAGCATGTAAGTGTGTTTGCAAGCCTGTGTACATGTAGCTCTTTGGGTGGCATTTTGGTTTTGGTGCTGGGAATTGAACCCAGGGCTTCACTTATGGTTAAGCACACACTCTACCACTAAGCTCCCCCCAGCCCCTCTGTATGTTTGGACACATATGTAAATGATGTCTGCAGGGCTGACAGGTGATTGCATGCACATGTAAGATTCTGCTTGCATGTATACTCACAGAGTACTTGGGCATGTACAGAATTGGGTGCAACATGCCTGCACACTAGTAGTGAGTGTGTAAATGTGCATGCAGGAATGGCTTCCTGTGACAGTACACATGAATCACAGAAATGCCCTCCCCAAGAATGTTATTGGCTCCTCACCTCCTCAAGTCTGAAGTGCCCTGCCTGGCTCCAGCCAGGAACTGGGTTCCCCGCACTCCCACCCTGGCCCTCTGCGTGCACAGTATTCCCTAGACCCATCCACTTGGCCAATTTGCAGCCTCTTGCTCCCAGCTCCTGAGAAGGCCTACAGCAAAGTCAAGGGGCTGGTGGCCAATTAGCAAGGGGCTTAATCAGGGATCTGGGGACCCCCGGGGGGCAAGAAAGTGAAAGCAGGCATGGAAGATTAGTAGGAGCAGGAGCCGCCTCTCATAAAGCTAAGGGAGGAAAGAGGGAGAGCGGTGGGGCCAAGCCAGTCCTGTAGTGCTGAAGCCAAGGGTGGGCGAGTGGATTCCTGATTGTCAGGCACTGACGCAGCGGGGAGTGTGTGAAACAGTGTGCACTGTGTGAAATGGTGTGTACATGCACTTAAGTCCTTGAACGTGACCTGCATGCATTTGTGTTCACATGACTGGATACCACCTGTGTACACATGTGCAGGTGTGTGTCTGTGTGTATATGAGTGTGCAATGGTGTGTGAATGAGTTATGTATGTCTGGGTCTGTGTGCACATATGTTTATATAGAAGGCTAAGTCTGTATGTGTATATGTGCAAGGGCAGGTACATACATTGAAGCATGTGCTCCAGCATGAACTTGTGTGCACATAAAGCTGATGTGTCTTGTGTACACATGTGCAATGTTGTATCTGTGTATACAAGTGTACTTGCCCTAGTGTGCAGATGCATGTATGTCTGTAAGTCAGTGTGTTCCCTAAACACCCAGGTGCGTGGCCACCCACATATGTGCTTGCACCAGCCCACATCCATGTGTCCACTTGCACACAGGTCTCAGCATGGAAGGAGCTGGGGGTTGTGGGACTGGAAGGCTCTAGGCTCCTGGAGGGAATCTGACAGATGAGCCTTGCTGCAGCCCCCAGCCCTGGGAGCCTGTTTTCCAGCCTGCAGAAGCTGTAAGCCCGCGAACCCATCTTATATTAATAGCTGCTGTCTGTTCACTTATTGCAAGGAGAGGCGGTCATGGCCCTGGCGGGATGCAGCACTCAGATCTCTCCCCTCACCCCCTCGCCCAGGACCAGGAGAGAAGAGGGGGAGGTGGCCCCAGCCCTATCTCAGGGTCCAGTCCTGTAGGAAGGGAGCCCCTGCCTCCCCCAATTTAGGAAGCCTGATGCCCACCCCTCCTGGGCCTGTGTAGCTAGGTGGGATCAAGTCTGGGGCCTGGAAAGCTGGCAGAAACAGGCTTGACCACCCCTCCCCAGACACACACACCCAGGCGTGCCATTTGCACAGCCCTGGACTGATGAGCACCAAAGGAGACTGAGGCTGAGGAGACATGGGAGGCTCAGTGTAACCAGGAAAGCACAGTCTTGCCCTCAGGGGCCCTCAGTCTGAGGCAAAACACAGGGCCCTGCTCTCAGAGGTCCTCTGCCAGAGGGAGGAGACAAAGCCTGGCCCTCATGAGTTCCTGGTCTGAGGGGGAGACACGACCTTGTCCTCAGGAGCCCCTGGTTCTAAGGAGAAGTAAAGACAACTGCTCTCGTGTTTGAGGAGACAAACAGGTGCTTATTCTCAGGGACCTTCAGTTGGAGGTGGGACACAGCCCTTCCTTTGGGGGCCCCATTCCGAGAAGAAAGGCAAGACTTCTCCATATGATTACGCAGGAACTGGAGTGAGGTATGTTGTATGAATTACATCTTCATGGCCCCAGCAGTGCACAGCCAAGGGGATATTCTGGGGAGAAGAGTGCAGTGGGGTACAGGGAGACCCTGACCATTTCTGTAGGATCCCAGGGAGAGGGAAATCCCAACTAGCCCTACCACACACATGGGCTCCCCCAAATGCCTCAGAGGCACCACAAACCACCCTGAGACAGACAGAGGAAGCCCTCAGCATGAGGGCCCAGCACAGACATCCCCCTAGACACCAGCTGGCAGGCAGTAAGTAGGTCCCTGCTTGAGCAGCAGAACTGGAAGCCAGGGTAAGGGAACAGAAAGCCAGGCTGTACTATCTAGAACAGGACCTGGACCTTGGTGGGAACTCCTCAGGAGCAAGGAGAAAGCAGCAAGGAGACCCTTCCCTAAGGTCTGGGAATAACCTGGAGACCCCCCAGCTTTTCCACAGCCGGGCACAGGCCTCCCTGCCCCAATATCCTGGCTGTTTCTGAACTGGTCTCAAATCTACTCCTTCAACCAGGAAAGAAACAGATTTGGAGGTAGATGACCTGGGATCAGATCCCAGCTCAACTCCTGACTGTGATTTTGGGCAGACTAAATGTCACTTTTGAGGGCAGCCTTTCTTTTAGATGTCTTTATTTTAAAATTCCTCATATAGCCCCTATCCTTCCTCAGTACATTATTTTTCTCTGAGGACTTATCACCAACATTACAGTATTTGAAAAACTTTTCTGTTTATTGCTATTTTCACCCCCCCGGACATGAAGTTGTCCTCAAGGACACGAGTGAAGGCCCATTACTCTCAGAGCCTCAGTTTCCTCTATTGAAGAGTCGGGCGAGGGATAGCATCCATCCAACAATACCATGGTGGTGGTGTGTGAAGTCTGTCTCCAAGCTTAGCCAGAGGGGAGGAGGTGCTCATGGGGTCGGGGTCTCATCCTAGGGGCCTTCCAGGAAGGTCGGGAGAGAAGATAAAGCTCTGCCTGACCTGGGGAAGTCTCCCCACTTGGTTCTTGGGCATGTTGGCATACTCACTTCCTTGGTCTCTGTGGCCACTGTTGGGGAGGGGGCTTTAACACCAGGCAAAAGTGCTGTAGCTGGGGAAATGGAGAAAGAGCTGTGTCCTAGCAGACCTGGTACCACTGAGTTTCAGCGCATGGCTATTCCTCTTTGATCCTCAGCCTCCCCATCTATGTGATGGCCAAAAATGCTCTGAGAGCCTCACCTCCAGGCTTTATCCAATTCCGAGGCTAGGCTAATCATAAGTTGTTTGTTGTTGTTGTTTTGTTTTTTTTTTTCTTTTCTGTGCTGGGGATGGACCCCAGGGCCTTGCCAGCACTCTACCACTGAGCTGTGCTCCCAACCCTTGTTTTTTTGAGACAGGGTTTCACTATATAGTTCACACTAGTCTTGAACTTGAGATTCTCCTGCCTCTACCTCCCTAGTGTTAGCATTACAGTTGTGGGCCACTATGACCCCCCCAAGAGCTTCCTCCTGAGCCACACCCCACATCTCTTTCTGCCCTTGCCTGATGAGCACAGTCATTCTGGGGTCCTCCTCCTCTCCCAAACACCCAGATTCAGTTCTTCAAGTGCACACACTTATAGCCACTCACTTTGCATGGGAAAGAAGCTCTTCCAGTTCCAGAAGGACCAGACCCCATCCAACCATCTCCCAAATGTGGGCCACTGGTCCTGAGAATGTAAGTCAGGTTCCAGAAAGTCCTAAACCCCCGGCTTGGGAAAAAGGAAGTGAGCGGTCATTATCCAGGGGACAGAACACAGATTCAGGAAACAGATGTTCCTGGTTTGAATCCTGCCTCAACCATTTCCTGGCTATATGGTCTTGGGCCAGTCTTCCCCTCTGGGTCTCAGTTTCCACATCTGTAAAATGATACCACTAGTACCAAGGGTATACTTGTTAGGAGGTAGCACAACACCTGGCCCACAATAAACGTGCTGTTAGAGGGACTTGGCTATTGTTATTGAAGGAAACTGACATCCTGTGAGCATATTCTTCATGCCAGACCCCAAACAGGCTACTGCGGGTAGGAAGAGCCCAGCACCCTGCTTCCTGTTCACAGGAGGAGGTGAGGGCCATGCCAGGTGGTGCCTTCACCAGAGAGAGGTCCTGACAGGTCTGATCAGAGGAGCACTGACATAATTGGGGGGCGGGGAGGGTCATAACCATCCCCCCATCAGGTCCCCCTAGACTGGCCTGACTTTCATTTCAGGCTATCCTCCATCAGGCCCCACTTATATCCTGCACAAACACACAGAGGTACTTGGAAACATTTATTACAAAATCATTTTTTATTGAGTTAGGTTGAGGAGAGAACAAGGAATGCACTGGGGACCGCACCCGGTTGACAGAGGGGTGGGGTATTGGCTCTTGCCCCGCCTCCTCTAGGGCACCTCAGGGTGAGGCCTGGCCCCCAGGCCATGGCTGTGGCGCTGGACGCTAGGCTGGAGTGTAGTTGGGGTTGCGTTTTCTAGTCCCGACTGCCAGGCCGGGATACAATTCCCCCAGATGGTCACCAGAGGGCAGCAGGGCCCCAGTGCAGAGGAATTCTCGGTTGCTCAGGTGATAGCTTCTTAAAAAAATAAAAAACCAGAGGCTGGTGTGTTCCCCTGAAAACCCATGGTGGGCAGGCAGGGAAGAAAGCTCTGGTTCTATGATCTCTTCCATAAAAAATAAACAAAAACAATAACAAAATACGTGGTTGTTTCTTCTCCATTTCTCCCCTCCAGGAACTGAGGTTAGAAATGGGGGGGGGAGGGAGGGGACTGGAGATACCCTGGTATGGCCTAGATTTCAAGTGTGGGTCTTTTTTTCCCCTTTCCACCCATAAATAAATTTATAAATATAAATACTATAATTTCTCTGTATATGCACACATATATATATAGATAAATCTTCCATCAGGCAACTAAGTGACTAACCTCTCTGACTCCGGAGTTCAGAAATTCAAAAGTAAAGTGACATGGCCAAGGTCAAGTTTCAGGGAGGGGAAAGACTGAGGACTTGGAATGGCACTGTAAGATTCCCAGCATTCTGGAATTGCAAGCCCCTTGGGCAGTGGGACATTTCTGAGTGGAACCCTGACCACCTGGAACATTCTAGAACCATGGAGCCAGCTTGAACAGAATCCAGAAACATCCAATGTCCTAGACCTCCAGAACCAGCTGGATCTTAGGGGTGTGGAGCTGGGGGTTTGGAGCAAAGCCCTGGAGGACCTAACATTCTGGAATTTTGTAGGACTGCAGGGCCACCAGGATATAACTAGACATCACTGGGGGAGCGGGATCGGAAGGGAATCTTGGAAGAGGAACAGCAGCAGCAAATAGCCCACAGCACCTTCTGCACATCCTGGTTGCGGAAGGCATAGATGATAGGATTGATCATGGAGTTGTAAGTAGCAGGGAGCAGAGTGAGATAGGTGTAGAGGGATGGGGAGCTGGCATCACCCAGCAGGCAGTAGACGGTGAAGGGCAACCAGCAGGCAGCAAAGGCACCAAGCACGACGGCCAGTGTGGCGATGCCCTTGCGGGTGGCCACATAGTGGGAAGCAGGCAGCAGGTGCCGCTGGAGGGCGATCTGCTGGGCATGACGGCAGACAATGCGGCAGATCTGGGCATAGAGCTGCAGCATGATGCCAAACACCATGAAGAAGGCAATGGCCAGGACCACCAGATGGTTCTTGGAGAGTGGATATACCACACCGCATGTGGTCAGGCCATCCAGGCAGTTCCACGCCAGCACAGGCAGCAGCCCCAGGCCCAGGGCGCCCCCCCACACCAGGGCCAGCATCACATAGGTCCGAGTCACTGTTGTCTCCGAGTAGTAGGTAAGAGCATTGTACAGGGAAAGGTAGCGGTCGACAGTGATAGCCAGTAGGCTGCCAATACTGGCAGTGAAGGCCATTGCCAGCACACCAACCAGCACCAGCCTCATCTCCGCCGAGCCGATGCAGAAGACAGCAGCAAAGTGTAGGACTAGACCCAGGCCTGCCAGCAGGTCTGCCACCGCCAGGCTGCCCACCAGCAGGAACATGGGAGCACGGAAGGCAGGAGTCCCCACAATGATGGCCACCACCAGCGCGTTCTCACAGGACACCAAGGTGCCTGAGATGCACAGCACCACATCCCAGACCCTGGGCGAGGGCAACAGTGCAACTGAGCCAGTGGGCCCCTCTGCTGGGTCCATGGTGCTCACATTCAGGGTTCCTGGGCCAGATGAGAGCCAGGCCAGGGAGCTTCCTGCACCCCACACCATGGTACCTGTAGAAGAAAGGCCCTGTGAGATGCTGGCAGGGCTGGGTGCTAGCAGGTGAGGTCTGGTAGGGGTGAGCTCCCTTTCAGGATACCTGTTGGGGTACCAGTGTTGTGTCCCTCAATTCATGTCCTGGGGCTCTTCTTAGAATATCTTTGTTCTCTCCAGGCCTCTAAAGTGGGGTCTCAGGTTGGGGGTGTGGCTCAAGTGGTAGAATGCCTGCCTAGCAATCGTGAGGTCCTGAGTTCAAACCCCAGTACAGCCAAAAAAAAAATTTTTTTTTGAATAAACGAGCCTCTTTTCCTGGAGCTCCCTATCCTGGTTCTCTTCAATGCTATGGGTCCTGCAGACCTCTTTCCCACGGTCAGATCAAGGGCTACCATAAGTGAATGGGGACTCTAGGATCCAAATGATGCCCTAAAAAGGTTCAAGATGGAGGTGGGGGAGCATCTCCAGAAGGAGAGTAGCTCTGCTTCCTCCCAGCAGAGAGGGTGACTCGGTTTCTGAGGCTCTCAGACCCTTCACGATTCTCAGCACTGTCAGCCCCAGGCTCCGCCCCCAGGGAAAGCGCGTGAAGCTTCTGCCAGCCCCCACCCGACATTCCTGGGGTAACAATACCTAGAAACTCAGTCTTCCCACATTCTCTCCCAGACTTGTGCCCCTAGAGGGCCCCCCTTTTCTGCCTAACCCCAGGATCTCTGTAACAGATACCTCCTGCTGGAAGCCTGGATCCCAGAGTCAGACCCCTCCTTCTTTTGCCTGGACACCTGGATATTGGGTCTGACTCCGCCTCCTGCCTGGATATCGGGATCGCTAAATCAGACACCTCTTGCTGCTCGGACGCCTGAGTCCCAGGCTCAGACTCTTCCTGCCCGCCCAACCTCAGGTGACCGTCCGTCCCTCCAGGGCCTCAGGTCCCGCAGGAATGCTCGCCCTTCTCCAGGTCACCCAACTGACCGCTCCAGCACCCGAACACTTAGGGCTCTGCCTGCTAACCCAGAATCTGCTAACTCAGAATCCCAGCTTCGACCTCCGACCCTGGCCAGCTGCAAGGAGCTTCCCGACTGCCCAATGTCCCAGCATCCTGCGTGCCCTCCGGGACGCAGGGCTCACTACTCACCGCTCAGTCCTGGGGCGCGGCCGGGCCGCGGGGAGTTTCCGCTCGGGTCCAGGCAGCTCAGGCTGTGCGCGGACCCCGAGAAGCCCCCGCGGCCGCGGGAGAAGCGGCGTGAGTCACCCCGCCTCGCCCCGCCCCCGACCACCGGTTCGGTGACGTCACAGCGCTGTCAGCCAATGGGCGCGGCGCGCTGGGGTGCAGCGCGCGTTGCGCGGCATAGTAATGAGGCCTCGCACCGCCCGCTCCCCCATTCATAAAAAGCGACCGTGGCCGCGGCCCCGCCCCCTCCCGAACTAGCCCGCGCTGTCCTTGACACTGCGCCCTCTGCGGGCGGGGGATTTCTGGGGCGTTGGTGGGAAAGCCTTGGAGAAGTCTCAGCAGAGGCTGCGGGGAATGTAGTGGGGGGAGCGGGACAGGCTGCGGAGAGATGGGACCCTTGTGTACCAGAAACAAGCTGACAGAATCCAGGTGATGGAACCGAGTGATGGGGCTGAATGGGCGTCCCCAGTGAGGATGACGGGGTTGCCTATAACGGGGCCCTGAGGTGACGGTGACAGTGACAGGAGCACGAGGGAGCAGGAAGGTGGGTGGCCGTGACGATATGAGCGTGGTGACGGGATATTGGGGGATGGTGGCTGTGGGACGCTGACGGTATAGAAGGGTAGAGCCCCCAGGGCAACCATAGCAGTTTCAGGGTGACTCTGAAGCATGATGGAGTTCAGGGATCTCAGGGTGGCAGAGATGGTGGTGAGGAAAGATAGAGTATCCAGGTGAAGGGACTTCAGGTCACCATGACCCTGACAAGTGCTGAGGTGTTGAGGTGGAAAATGAGGGTTATAGGTTCCTGGAATGAAGATACTAGGCGACTATGGTGAGTGGCTCCAGGGTAAGGTGAACAGGACAGTGGGTCTGGTGGACAGTGACCAGGCAGGTAAGTTGCTGCCAGGACAGGTCCCGTGATGCTGGGGCTAGGATTAGGAGTTGAATGACGTCACTTATGTCGGCCCAATAGCGCCCTAGCAACCCGGGAGGGTGAGCCTGGCAAAATTTCAAAACCTGAATTATTTATTTAAGGATCTGGAAAGCCAGCAGGGTGGTGGTGGGTCACTTCCCTGAAGCAGCAGGAGATGAGGAACCGGGAAGAAGTTGGAAGCAGAAGAGCTGGCAGTTCGGTCCTCAGGACAGGCCCCTCTTGGCTTCCCATCCTGGGCACCCTGGTGGGTAGGGCATGGAGAAAGAGCTCCTCCTTCCCCAACCCGGCCTGCCCTTGACCACCCCAGCACATCATACCCACGTGGGCAGTCCTGAGGGAGGGGCACGATGTCCCTCCTCCCTCTTTCTCTAGCTTTGATCCTTTCTGGAACCATCTGTGGGAGGGCAAAGGGAGGAGGGATTAGGTTAAAGTTTGAGGAAAGCAGTCAGCCAAGATCCCAGGTCCCACTTGCCTCCTCTCCCCATGCCAGCACCCCTGCAGCTCCCATGGTCAGGGTCCACTGGGCAGGTGTGGGACAGGGTTCCACCACAAAGCAGGGAACATAGGCTGAGGAGGATGGTGTACTTCGGGTTGGATGTGGTGAGTGTGAGATGCTTATTGTGGGGTGGAGGCGGTAGGAAATAAACTAGAGTCAAATCCCAATTCCTCCATTCCCTAGCTGTGTGACTTTGGGAAGTTTCTCAGGCTCTCTGTGCCTATTTTCTCATCTCTTAAATAGGGATAATATTAATACCTACCTCAGGATTGCTACCCCTTATCAGCACTGACTACATTGGCTGTCACTGATATGCCTGGCCAATGGTGGATGCCAGGGAGGCATGAGCAGGGGGTAACTGAGGGTTTAGGGTAGATGACATCAGTCAGGGGAAGGATCAGAGAACGAGGAGAGGCCTCAGAGAACTCTGCCTTGGAAGAGCCAGACTGTGGATTAGGTGTTCCTGCTCCTGACCTTCGCACTGGCTGTTTCCCTGCCTAAAACCCTTCGCTTCCTCCTGAGCTCTACTTCTAGCACTTCTAAACCAGGTTTCCCCAACCTCTGTCCCAGGTGACCGCCCCTTCCCCATCACTCTCCCTCCCCTTCACTGTTTCTTATTTTTTTAGAGCACGTAGAACTCCTACAATTGTATTTATCTATGCTTCTTTGTTTGCTGTGTGTCAGTCCCACTGGACTATAACCTCCATGAACATGAGCCATTCCGTTTTCTGTGAGAGGTGGTGTCTGACATGTTGTGGGTGTTCAGTAAATATTCTTGGCTGAATGATAAAACTAACAGAAGCAGCCAGAAAAAAAGAGATGGAAACACAGCCAGAGTTGCAGTACACCTTGTGGAGGTGTCTGAGATAGGGGACAAGGGTCTGAGAGCCCTAAGACTCAACTATCCACCTTCTCCCAGTTTCCATAGTTGTTCCATCACTACGGGTCATCATTACAGAATCTGTCCTCTGCCAGCTCCAACACTGGAGGACTTTGGGGTCCCCGACTGTCTTCATTCTCTGTTTTCTTGAGGTCTTTGTCTCATACAGGCCACATCCTGCAATGTCTGTAGTTGGATCAGTTTTTCTTCATAGAAATTCATGCCCAACAAATTGTGTTGCTGCCACCAAAATGGGTTCTGGATCCAAATGTAGATGATATCTGGCATGATCTTATACATTATGGCTAGTTTCTCCTTAATTTCTGTCTTGGTGACAGTTGCCATCCCAGGGTGAAGGACATCAATGGCCACTTGCTTTTGCTGAAGTAGGTGGTTAGTCGTGAGATTCCTCTCTGCATGGGCACCGAGTTTTTCACAGTAAAGGTTGCTCCTCTGGAAGCCAGGGTTTCTAGCCCTGATACTGGAGGGACTGAAGGGAGGCTGGATCTGCATGTGTGCTTTCTCTCTCATGCACCAACATTGCTCATGCCAGCAGAATAAGCAAGGATGTCACTGCCTATCAGGTCTCTGCTCCCTGAAGACTTGCTCCCTCGTGGAAGGGACAACCCTTCCTCATGCCCTCTGCCCCTACCTTCCCACTCCCTTTCCACCACTGACACACCCTGCCTACCAGGTGCCAGACCAGAGCCAGTGCTTACAACCTGCAAAGTTAAGGAACAATGTCCTCCATTCATAAGTGAAGCCCAGAGCAGCCAAGATACTTGCCCCAAACCACACAGTAAGTGGCACAAGTGGGATCTGAAGCCAGACCCATCTGTAACCAAGCCCAGGATACCTTCTGTTCTAGCCTATATGGCACCCTCTCCCCATAAAGTGTTGGGGTGAAGTTCTGCTATGGCTGACAACCCCTGCACTTCCCCCAGGTGGCCACCAGATGGCTGAGAGCCCTCAGCAGGTGAGACTTCTTTCCTCACCTCTTCACTAGTCTGAGGGACTTGGACCTAAGTTCTAAAGGGAGAAGTGCTGTGTCCGTGTATATTGTTGTGTGTGATACGCAGATAATCTCCTCACCTGAGCCCCTTGTCCAAGACCCAGCATCTGGTCACTGTCACCACATGTACTTTTAGCACAGACCCAATCATTCAACTGACAGTCCCCCTGGCCCTGGGTTTTAGTGGGTGCTAGGGTCAGACAGAGAGACAATTTGGCCACATTCCTAAATTTTCAACATTTAGAACATATTTAGTGAACAGCTAATATTTGCCAGGCATAGAGAATAGAGCAGTGAACAAAAACCTTTACCTTTATCAAGAAACTTCCACTTTAATGGGGAAAGATGACAATCTACCAAGAGATGCTTAATATGACATCAAGTAGGGAAACCTTGAGGGCATCACAGACAAATATGGATGGTGGGCCAGGCAAATGTGTACATGAACGATCACAAAATGGTGCAGTATGGCTATTAACAAACATCCAGCCAGGCACCGGTGGCTCCCCCTGTAATCCTAGCTACTAGGGAGGCAGAGATCAGGAGGACTGTGGCTCGAAGCCAACCCCTAAAAATAGTTTGAGAGATCCTATCTTGAAACTACCCAACACAAAACAGGGCTGGCAGAGTGGCTCAGGGCCTACCAAGCGTGAGGCCCTGAGTTCAAACCCCAGTATGGCCAAAAAAAAAATCTACTTCACCAGAACTCTGTGCAGAGAGTTCACCAGGGAAGAAGCTAAATGTGGTTCCTGCCTTCATGGAGCTTACAACTCAGGACACAAATGAAAATTTAATCACACATTTGATACATGCTTGGAAGGAACATCAAGTGCTGCGATACAGAATAACCAGGGGACATCTTTCAGGTAGGAAGGTCACAAGTGAGTCACTTGAGAGAACAAAGGAGTTTCAAAAGCAGGGAGCAGCAAATGCATGGTTCCTGAGGAGGCTAAGAGTTTGAGGAGAGGGGGTCACATGAACAGAGAAGCCCAGTGAGCAGCAGGGAAGAGGGAGGGTTTGAACCTAGAGATGTGGGCAGGGGAGATCCCTGTGGGTTGTGGAAAGCCATGAGCTGTAAGGTGCTGGTGGGTTTAAGCAGGGAGTGAGACAATGACATTTCTCCTAAGGACCCCTTTCTTTCAGTGGTCACCCGAAGGATTTAGTTCGCTAGGCAAAGGGAGTCGGGTAGAGGAGGGCTCCCAGAAAGAGAAGAGCTCAGCTAAAGGCAAGGAGTGAGGGCCTCTGTTCTATCTTGTTGGTGAGTAGGAAAGCAATGGGAAGAGACCAACATAGGCTAGAAACTTCTAGAGCCAGGAATCTATTGCTGAAAAGTTGCTAACAGGAAAAGATGTGGTCAAAGCCATGGTTTCAGGAACCCCTAGCACTATGAAGGCAGCTTCATAGTGGGGCTGGAGAATGAGAGGCAGTGAGAACAGCAGAGGGAAAATGAGGGAGAAACCCAGAGAGACACAGAGAGGCAGAATCTAGAGGATTTTAATCTGGGGAGGAGAGACAGAGGGAGGGACGGACACGAAACCACGGGTCCCAACCTGGATAACAGACTGGCGAGTTGGAGAGTAGAAGGAAGGACATGGGTAATAAGTTTTGTGCATAGGCAAAATGGACCAGGAGGTTTTCAGATGTCTGAGGGCACTCAGGTGGAGGTGCCCAGGAAGCAAGAGACCCTAGCCTCCATAGATCCTGGCTGCACAGCCTGCTCAGCTTCACTGT